TCATGTTACTCAATTTTAAGAGTGATATATATATATATATATATATAATCATGTTTATAATATTTTACTTTAGGGGTGTTTTTATATATCACATACAATTTTTATGTATTTACACATTTACTTGCTCAAAAAAGAAATGAGCAAGTATTTAACAGAAGAACATTAAGCTACTCTTAATGGACATGAACACGCTAACGATGTACGATGTATGAAGCTAAAATCCCCTCATCAAAGACGAGAGAATGATTAGTTTCTAATGAAATTGTCAGAATTTGTCAATCTATTTTTTTGAAATTAATTTAATTTATCTTTATTTAATACTTACTTCTAAATTATTAAATGAATCATTTTTATTTTTAAAATTAAAATATTTTTTTTAAACCAAAATTACATATTTTAAATAAAGATAAGTTGAATTAATTTCAAAAAATGAACTGACAAATTCTAGAACATTTTAATTTTTACTTTCATATCCATAACATTAAAATACTTAATATTACATCAAGAATATTACTATTTATTTATCCTAGTAATATTCACCCATTGCATAAATTTATGACATCAAGCTGACTTAATTGCTCACTAGCAAGAACCAAAAAGAAGGTCTAAGGCAAAAAAAAAAAAAGGGCCTAAACATCATTGTGATAAGCGCTTAGGGCCAGCCTAACCGTGGGCCTAGCCACAAGCGGCACGGCACGACGAAGAGTGAGCCCATACGCCTCTTCCATATCCAGCTTCTCCCCACTCAGTCCATCAACCAAATCCCAATCAAAAGCATGAACCAACGTCGCCGTCATGAACTGCACCATTCTCAGCCCCAAACTCAATCCCACACAAATTCTCCTCCCAGCCCCGAACGGTATCAGCCCAAAATCATTCCCCTTAACATCGACTCCCTCATGAAGCCCGCCGGGTAGAAACCTCTCGGGCTTGAACTCCAACGGCCCATCGGCCCACGTGGATTCGTCCCGCCCAATGGCCCAAATATTGACGAGAAGAGTGGAGCCCTTCGGAATGAGGTAGTTATCGATCTCGCAGTCGGTTGAAGCGACACGTGGAAGAGAGAGGGGGGTTGAGGGATGTAGGCGGAAGGTTTCCTTGACAATCGATTGGAGGTAAGGGAGGTGGGGGAGGTCCGACTCGGTGGCGAGTCGGTTGAGTCCGATGACTGAGTCGAGCTCGTTTTGGGCTCTTTTTAGGATCTTTGGGTGTCTTATTAGCTCGGCTAAAGCCCATTCTACTGTGCTTGATGTGGTGTCCGTTCCTGCTGCGAATAGATTCTGCATGTAAATAAATATAAGTAAAAATAATATTAAATATTTAAAATAACATTTAAAAAAACTTAATATTTATAAAATTTGAACAATACACTTAAGATCTGTGTAAAAAATTATTACGAGTGGCTGACTGCATATTCGGACGACGGTCCAATACGATTGCAATGTATCCAACTAGACCTTCGTCCAAACATGCAATCGCTATACATAATAATTTTAATGTATATATTAAAATGAAAGGCAAAAGTATTTGACTAGCCTCTGTCATCCCTAAATGTGCTAAAGATTCGAGCACCACACTCTAAACACGAGGGATTCGAACTCGTGACCTAAAGGGACTTACGACTTCCAGAGAATCTGTTCTACCAACAAGCTACAGTACTCGCATATATATATATAGCA